GAGCGTGCCGCGAGGCTCGCGCGCACGCACGAAACTGCTCAGCGCTGGCTCAGCCGCTTGGCCTCCTTGGCCGCCGTCTTCTGCAGCAGCGCTGAGTTGTTTTGGAATGCGCCAGAGAGGCGCAGCGACGCGGCGGAGGATTTGGCGACTCCCGAGGGAAGCAGCGTCTCTTTGAGCGGGACTGGGTCTCCCAGGCCTGGCAAAGGGACCGAGCCGTTGTACACCGCCGTGCCGAAAAGGAGGACGATGGTGCCGGCCAGCTGCACGTAGCTCGCAAAGGTCCACTCCTCGCCGGCGGTGCCATTCGAGATCATGTAAAAGATGATGAGCGAAGAGATCCACACGAAGACGGGCCGGAAGTTGTCGAGGATGGCGTGCCTATGGTTTGGACGTCTCGCGCGTGTGTGGCTTGCGTGCGCAGATGTGGCGTCCGGCTGGTCTCACGGATGTGCCAGACAGAGGAGAGCATGTAGGTGATGACGATCGAGAGGGAGTTGAGCACAAAGATCAGGGCCGTGTAGCAGAAGATATAAAGCAAGAGGGTCCCGTCATTCGTCACCTTGTGGAAGGTGTTGAAGGGGTTCTCGTAGCAGCCGTGGTCCGAGCCGGGCAACGCGTAGGCGATCGGATACAGGACGAGGCCGCACAGCACAAAGCCAAAGGCTCCCTCGGTGCCAATCAGCAGGAGGGGCGGGCAGTCCATATCTGCCATCACCTTCTCCTCGTACACATACTGGAAGGACTGCATGAGGGTGCCGAACCCGGTGACGGCCATGCCAAAGACGGGGTTCTTGCCATCGCCCGCAAGGGTGGACAGCATCCGGCCCTCCGCCTCGGGCGCCTTGCCGCCCATCGTGGACGAGTAGCCAACAATGGCGATGGCAACGGCGATAATCATTACACCGGCCCACTGGGTCTTGTTGAGCGGATCGTTGAGGACAAAGTTCTTCATGAGTGCAACGAGCACGATCGCACCGCCGCGCAGGAGCTGCCAGATAGAGGCCGGGATGTGGCTGCGAGGTGTGGGAGAGGAGTAAGTCGGAAGGGGAGGACAGACGTGCTAGACGGAATTGGGCGAGCCGGTCTTTGCGGGGCTGCGTAGGGGTGGGTGGGTGGGTGGGGTGACGGCGTACAGGAGGCCGATGGTGGTGAAAGCAGTTGCCGTCAGGTCGAACACGGAGGGCAGCCCAAGCAGAAGAACGCCCTTGAACCCGAGCGCCGGCGTGGGGGGCGTTGATGAGTCCTTGCTCTTGACGCACTCGTTAATAAAGTGCGCCGGCAGCGCCATCGTCATGCCAAAGAACATGGCAAACGTGAAGAAGACGGGGAACTTCGTGCCCTCCATTTCACCCGTAAAGCCCTCGGTGGTGAGCCCCATGGCTGCCTTGCAAAAAATGGTGCAGAACGTGCCGGCAAAGAGCGCAATGAGGAAGACAGCGGCCGCTGCGGGCGAGCAGGACGGCTCCTCGCCACCTCCGTGACCACCCTTCCCCATGTTGGCGCAGCGATTGATCGGCCGACGCGAGTTCGGCGACGATAGGAGGATTGGGATTCCGTCCGCGATTTGCTTTTCAGTTTCTCCAGAGCGAGGTGGCGGCGGCGGGGCGCGCGCTGGGCGGGGCGGGGCGGGGGGGAGGGGGAAGGGGGGGGGGGGGGGGCTCGGTGTTTTGGTGCCGGCGAGGTGGGGTGCTAGCTAGTATGACACCGACCCGGGTCGCAGTTCTCTTGCGCTTCGGGGGTTAGTTGCCGGAATATTGGTTAGGGGGGCACTAACCCCGGGAAACGGTCAAGTTTTTTAGAAAAGTACGTTCAGTATTTTTAACAAAACTCTGACGAAGGATCCACCGCCGCCTCGTCACCGAGCACAGCTGCGCTCGCACCGCGAGGACCCGTATACACGTATGACCAGCTGCGCCGTCGTCAGCATCGAAGGCGGTCCCACCTGCGCGTCGAATCCACCGCTCCTCGAAGGAGCTGTCGACTTTGCGTGTGTGGTCAAGGAGGTGTTTCAACCAGTGAGTGCCGGGAGAGCATTTGTGCTTCAGGGTGAAGCCGGGCGTTGCACTCAGGAGTACATTGAGATCAACGGCAGGAAGTATTGCGGCGACGACGCGCCGGTTCGTGTCGCGCCCAGGGATGGCGTGATACGCTGGGTTTGGCACGGCAGCGGACGCGCGAGCGGCTGGGAGCTCTGCTGGGCAGGAGATGGTACTCCGGGAGGAGACTGCTGGGGTTGCGGTGAACTGCCCTTGCCGCGACGTGTCGTCCCTCCACTGCCACCAAATCCGCCGCCGCCACCACCGCCACCACCGCTACCGCCGCTTCCGCCAATCCCGCCTCCTCTCACGCCACATCCGCCACTGCTGCCTGATGGGGCTGCGGTGGTGTCGTCTGCAGAAGAGCTCGAGGAAGCGCTCATGGCCCAGCTAGGTTCGGGAGGCAGGCGGACGATCCTGATCACGTTCTCTCCTGGTGCCCGAATCACTTTACGCCGGCAGCTGTCGGTGGGACATGGTGCTAATGTTAGCATCGTCAGCCCGAGCGGTGACGCTGTCATCGAGGCTGAGAGTGGCGCAAGCCTCATCACGGTCGAACCTCATGCGACGCTGATAGTCGAGGGCGTGACGTTGACACACATAGACGGCGATTCTGACGATGACGAACTTGTGGGCAGAGGAGCTGAGAGCGAGGATAATCTCGGCAGGCCCATGCAGGAACCAGAAGTTGGAGGCGCTATCTTTGTGCGTGCTGGCGCATCCCTAATGCTGCGTCACTGCACCGTCGCAGACATGCACGGGTCCTATGGTGGCGGGATTGCTGTCAAGGGACGAGCTCTCGTCATTGACTCCTCCTTCACTGGCTGCCGAGCGTGGCAAGGAGGTGCTATTTACACCGACGGTGATTCGGCAAACGCGACGCTCATTCGAAGCAGGATACACGATTGCATTGCAGACACGGGTGGCGCCATTTATGTCGGCGTCGGCGGGCGAGCACAGCTATTCGACTCCAACATTAGTGAATGCAAAGCAGCGGGGGACGGTGGCGCCATCGCCTCGTTCTCACGCTTGGTGGTCACCAGAGGGTCGATCTCACAATGCCACGCGTCAAGCGGCGGGGCCATCGCTGCGCGGCATGAGCCGGAGAACCAGCTCGGAGGGCCAGGTGGCGAGCTCGGAGGGCCAGATGGCGAGGTCGGAGGGCCAGATGGCGAGGTCGGAGGGCCAGATGGCGAGGCCGCTCCCAGCGATCGAGATGCCCACCTCAACATAAACAACGTCAGCATCTCAAGCTGCACGGCAGGCAGAGGTGGCGCCCTCTTCCTGTCAGCAGTCGTCGGACGCATGCGGAGCTGCCACATTAAGGGCTGCACCGCGCTCACGCAAGATGAGGCTGCGGCGAGGGGCGGTGGCATGTTTGTGGAGAAAATGTCAGATTTGGACATCGAGCAGAGCCGCTTCTCTGATTGCCGGGCGGCCGGTGAGGACGCCATTGGCGGCGGGCTGGACGTGAGCACCAGAGGTGCCAACGTGAGGCTAAGCGGGAGCATCTTTGAGGGATGCTCATCCGACGGCGCGGGCGGCGCAATATCTATCCGTCACGGTGCTATGCTAAGCGCCCGTCACTGCAGCGTACTCGACTCTCACGCTGCAGGTGGTCCTGGCGGTGCCCTGTTGGCCGAGGAGAGGGCGCGAGGTCCGAATGGCGACAGGGCGCGAGCGGCTCTGGCCGACCTCTCCCTGTCGGGATGCCGGGGCACAGCTGGCGGAAGAAGGGAAGACGCACGTGGCGCCGCTATTTATGTCGGCACGGGAGCGGAGGTCTCGTTGACCAAGGCTGACGTGGTCCATGAGTGCGGGGAGGGTCCAATCCTCGAGGCGCAAGGGTCGGGGGAACTTACGGTTCGCGGCCTCAACGTGTCGATGTCCGGATGCCAGGACGGCGACCCAAGTGCCGCCCTCCTGGTGCCGCTCGACACATGCGGCGACAAGCACTTTCGCACAGCAGGGGCGTCGAAGGCTAGTTCCATGTGTGCGGAGGGAGCGACGTGCGTCGATGTCGTCGCGTTTGCCGCCAGACGCAATTTGCCAGGAGAGATTTCGGCGCACTGCCGGTTTCCGGTTGGCTGCCGGGCGGATCCGAACAAGGAGGATGTCGGCCCTGAGCTCGCCCCTTATGAACAGGGCTGCCTCACGTCGCTCACTAGCCGGCTGCAAGCGGTGCAAGACGGCTTCTCTGTCGACTTGGTCAAGGACTCGGCAAAGGCCACGGTAGAGACCATCCAGGCCTCCCTCTTCACGCAGGGTAGCGACTGGCTCAAAGCAGAAAGCGGCAACTATACCTGGGAGATCTTGCCGGGCCTTCCGCGCTGGGTCATTAATACCACAACGGGCGGCGAGATAGAGAGCGAGCTCTTGCACAAGAGCATCCTGATCCCCCTCTACCTCGATCCCACGAACTTGCGAGAAGGAGAGACCCACAAGGCCGACTTGCGCGTTCGGGTGGTGACGGCAACGGCGGAGACATTCAGCATCCCTATCCGCGCGAACGTCTTTGCGGAGCCGGCGATGCTGCAGCTTGAACCGCGAGACTCGACTAGCAGAGGCCTTGTCGGCGAGTCGCAAGAGTTTGAGATCACCGCGCGAGACCAGGGCGGCCTCGAGCTCGCGCACGATGTCTTGAAGCCGAGTCCGGGTCCGACACGCATGTGGGAGATGCATTATAATGTGAGCGGACTCGCCGAGGAGGACCAGGATAAAATCGACGTGCAATTCGACCACCAGCAGCTAGGCAGCTACATCGTCACGGTGACTCCGGCGATTGCAGGCGACTACAACATATCAGTCGTGCTGAGGTCAGCCAATGAGAGCGTCCAAATGGCAGAGCCGATCGAGATCCGTGCGCACGGTAGGTCGGTCCCACCGCTCCCTCCAGCAGCCAGCCAGGTGTCAAAGGGCTTGCTTGCCGCGATTATCGTACTCGCATGCAGCTTTGTCATCGCGCTCATAGCCTTCAGGGTGCGGGCCTACTGCACACGGCGCAGGCTACGTCCCACCGAGATTTCGGCGAGGTTACTTCAAATCATGGACGTGAACATTCGATGGGTGTTCCGCCGCATGCGCGGCAGGTTGCGGACGCTTTGGTCTCTCCTGTACACCGCGCCGGAGTGGGCCGTCGGCCGGTGGGTCATCTGCAGCACGACAACGCTGCGGGCGCTTTGCTGGCTCCAATTTGCGTTCCGCGCACTACCTGTGGTCGAGGCGGTCGCTGCGTCTGTCGACATGGCCTCTCTGGTGAGCAACTGCAGCTCATTCACGCCGGTGCATGCGGACCAGGCAACGGCGGAGCGATTTGTCCTGTGGGCGAGCGTCGTCGACGCCGCCTACTGCACGCTCGCGGCACTCGTCGAGTTCGCATTTTTCCAGCGTGTGTTTCGCGGGCATTCCACCCCGGACCTGATGCTGGCTGCCGTGGTGACGATGCTAGTGAGCTTCGGCTTCTTCTTGACGGGCGTGGTGGCCAAGCGTCGTATGGACGACGGCGATCTTGTTCTCCGGCCGTCTGAGCATGGCTTGCTACCCGACACGGCCGTTACCGCCACCGTCTCGGCCTCGGTCGCCGTCAGCGTCGTCTTTGGCCTCTTTGGCCTGCGCATGAGGTACGAGTACGATTGGCGCGCCCTCTCGCGCTATGGCCTTGAGCCCAAGATGTTCAAGCGCTATCATCTTGCGAGACTCTTCTGGGCGACCCTCGCGCTCGACACTTCGGCCGGCCTGTTCTTTGCGTGCAGCATCGCCGGAAACAGCGTCATGACGCACGATTTGCGGATGTGCAGCGACAACGAATACCCCGTCGACCGCGCCATCCCAGGACTTGCGGTCGCCGGCGCTAGTCTCATGCTGCACGCGCTGTTTGATGCGCTCCTCTTCATGTTTGCGCGGCGCGAGCAGGGGAACGCCTCCCGGCTGCTGCTTGCCCTTGGACTACTCTCGCCAGTTGGTGGCGTTGCCTTCAGCTTCCTCGAGGTGCCCTTCATCTACCAGCCCTCTGGGGCAGAGTCGGTCCTCGTGTACCGCTCTGCCTGCGACCTGGCCATCGCGCTCACCATCGTGGCCACGCGGCTGCTGCTGTTACGGCTATGGCACTGGCTGCGGCAGAGAGTGTTTGGGCGTAACATCATGCCCTCCATCGCCAATGCGCGCCGCGATGCGATACTGAGGCTCGTGGGCCCGCTCAACTTGGAGCCGCAGTACCTCGATGCCATCCGGCACGCCGCGCGTGGGCAGAAAGTGCTCCTGACCATCGAGACCGTCATCCCTTCACCCACCTGGGAGGCGCCTGTTGCTGCCCATGTGTCCGTCGGTGGCGATGTCCCCGACTCCGCGCCGGCCTCGCTCGGCCCTGCCGATCTCGAGCGAGCGAGCCGAGCGGCCGCGGCCTCGCTCGGGCTTGCCGAGCCCACCTCTGCCGCCGCCCGGCTCTCTGATGGGCGCTCGAGCTTGCCAACGCATCACGATGTGAGCCGCCTCCGGAGGCGCATGGCGGAGCGTTACATGATCCTCTCGCCGCACACTGGCCGGCTCCGCTGGTCTTACACCGGCTACATCGGGGTAGAGCAGGTGCTCGAAATTGGTTGCCACGCCATCCGCGACACGGCCACTGTCTTTGGTGGCACCGGCACCGGCTTTGAGCACGTGATGGACGGCATTCGGGTGGGCCAACGGCACCATTCTGGCGACGGAGTGGGAGAGATCTTCCATAACAAACAGCGCCCGACCTCATCTTCGGAGCGGTCGAATCCGCAGCCACGAAGGATGTGGAGCCGCGACAAGTCGCTCTCCTTCAAGATGCAGCTGCCAGGCACAATTTCGGGTGCCACGCGCCACCTCATCTTTGTCGTGTGCCTGGGCATCCACGGCTCGATCATGCGACTGTGGATTGAGTGTGCGGATGATAGACACGCGCAAATGTGGCTGGACGGCCTCAGCGTGGCCTTGCAGCTGTGGCCGCGCGTGCAGGCAAACCCATCGGAGCTGCAGTGGCTGCGCGACGTCTTTGATGCGGCAGACGTCGACAAAACAGGGCTGTTGGTGTACACTGAGTTCGACCAACTGCTGGGTGCGGCAAACATGGATGGAGATTACGAACGCGCCTCGCTCGAGGGCGCGCTGAATGAGGCGGAGTGCTCCGACTCGCAATCCGAGGGCTTTGCCAAGCCGCTCAACTTTACTCAAGTGGCCAACCTCTTGTTGCAACTGCAGATGCGGTATGACGACGAGCTCGCCGACGTCTTTATGCGCTACTGCGACACGCCGACCGCAGTCACATCGCCATCGGCTGGGCCCGGTCATGTCCAGGAGGCGTTTATGACGCTCGACGGCTGGATGGAATTTTGGCGCGAGGAGCAGGATGGGACAGAGGGGAGCATGTCTGCCGTCGAGGCTCGCGCGGCGTACGAGGCGTACTGCTACGAGCGCCACATGGCGGAGCGGGTGCGACGGGGCGCTGCGACGCCAGCCCGCCCCGAGATTTCGCTGGTTGAGTTCCACAAGCTGCTTCAGTTCGCTGCCAACCACGCCATCGACCCGCGCAAGGTTGCCCCGTTGAGCGACGAGGAGCTACGCCACCCACTCGCGCACTACTGGATCAATTCGTCGCACAACTCGTACCTGGTTGGGAACCAGCTGACGTCGCGCTCATCCTCAGAGATGTACCGACGCATCTTACTCGAGGGGGGCCGCTGCGTTGAGATTGACATCACCGACGGCGCCGACGGCGACCCCGAGGTGACGCATGTGCATTCCTTCACCAGCCGGCTCAAGTTTGGGGAGGTGATAAAGGCTGTGCGCGCGGAGGCCTTCTCGAGCTCACAACTGCCGGTCATAATCTCGATCGAGATGCATTGCGGGCAGGAGCAGCAGCAGCGGTGCGCGGACCTACTCTACAGAACCTTTGGGGACGCACTGGTCCTTCCCGAGGAGATCTCCGAGCTGTCGTTGACGCCGTTTGACCTGCGCGGCCGCCTCATTATCAAGGGCAAGCCTGCAAGCAGGATTCGTCGACGCCATCCGGGCGTCGCACAGAGCTCATCGTACGAGAGTATCGTCTCGGGCCGCTCGCTCCTCTCCGAGAGGCCAGGGGGGCGGTCAGGGCGCAGCGCTGCGGAGAGTGGCGACTTGGCGGAGCACCCAGCCATGCCACCATCTCCAGAGGAGTCGCAGGCGGTGGGCCGTGGCGGGCGGCGCCTCCCCTCCATCGCGCTACGCACGTACCGCAAGGCGATGACCCGCCTGTCGGCGCCGTACCAGTTGGCCAAGAAGGCGCACGGCGTCGAGCGATACGTCGACCCGGCCATGGCCCGCGTGACTGCGATGCGGGCGTTCAGACTGAGCGACAGCCCCACCAGCTGGGCGCTGCCCGTGGTGTCCATTGTCGAGGGCAAGGTGGAGAGCATGGACCAGGGGAACGAAGAGTTTGCCTGGGACTTCTCGAGCACCCTATGCCGTGCCTACCCGGGGCGGTCTCGGCTTACCTCTGACAACATGGACCCGCTGACCGCCTGGCGGCTTGGCATCCACATGGTTGCGCTCAATCATCAGACCAACGACCTACCGCTGCAGCTCAATCGTGCGCTCTTTGCGCTCGGTGCGTCACAGGGCTACCTTCTCAAACCGCCCGAGATGCGCCGCGGCGAGAGCTGGCCGCCGCACCGCAAGACGCTACGCCGTGTGAGCCTCAAGGTCCTCACCATCAATCGGCTACCCACACGGCGGGAGCACCGACCGCGAAAGAGCTCAGCGGCGCACCACGCGTACGAGAGCGAGCTCAGTGGCACACCCACACCGCCCAATCCGGCAGGCGCCGTCCAGAGCCCGATCGTGCAGATCGAGCTGCACGCCATCGGCGGATTCAGCTGCGTCAGCCCGACGCTGCCGGTGCCTCAAAGAACGGCGCAGCGCATACGAGTGCACCGCCGCCATACGAATGCGCACATCCACTGCCTCGCTGCTGAGCCCGACACGACGTTCCTCCATGTCGCGGTTCTCGATGGCGAGACGCTCGTCGCCTACGAGGCGGCGGTTCTGAGCACGCTGCGGCCCGGGTACCGCTGCGTCCCTCTGCGCGATCCGCAGGGGACGCCCATAGACCTGTGCAATCTCATCGTGCACATTGAGATTGGCGAGGAGCCGCACGTCTGGGCTGAGGTGCAAGAGCTCCGCGCCGAGCTCGCACGGAAGGCTGAGGCGCTGGAGGAGCTCGAGGCGGAGCTAGCGGCCGTGCGGAGGCGCGACGGCGCCGCTTCAGGGGCGCGCGCGCCACTGCTGAGCAGCCCTGGCAGGCATGTGCTGCGCGGAGCGTCGCGCGTTTTTCCCGGCCGAGAGAGGGAGAGCAGCTTCCACAGTGGCTCGGAACCGTCCTCTTCAGTGTGAAGTCGGCGAGTCCGGCGAGCGGGGCGTCGGCCACAGCGCTCCGCGGGCCTCTCCGCAGCCGCTCCCCGCTCGCCCCTAGCGCCTACAGTGTGTACCATCTATACTCTGTAGCGAGTAGGCCTACGTCAGTAGCGCGCTAGCGGCTAGCGCCTCCGTAGTGCGGGCGTATGAGGTGTAGAGCCATGGCGGTATAGAGCCTACCCCTACCATGCCCTATATCCTTTACGGCCCCTGTAGCGGGCGGTAGCGCGAAAGCGCGGGGGCGGCGCGAGTTAAGTCCACATCGTACGTGTATGTAGTACACAGTGAAATCTGAAATGCAGAGAACACAAAAATAACCGCGAGAAGACTTGAGCCGAGCGTTTTTAATCTCTCGGTCAGTGGGGGGCCGACGGCCGAGCCGCCTCCGGGAATGACGCGGGCGGGCGGGCGTTTTGAAAAACAGAAAACAAGAAAACAAGAGGGCAGGGGGGCCGCCCGGGGGCCCAGGCCCGCCCCACTGGGAGTAGAAAATACGCCCAAGCGCCAAGGGGGCCAAGGAGGCGGCGCGGGGAAGCAGCATCAGGTGGGAGCAGGAAGGATGGCGCTTAGGCCGTTAGAGGTCGGCTGGTTTGTCCTTTGTGCTTTGAACAAGGATTTCCAGGTTTTAGATCAGTGTATTGCTATTGGTGTCGGCACACATCCCCACAAGCACATGAGGAGGTGAGCGGCGCGCAGTGCCTCTCTCGCAGGCTGATTTTGGCTGTTTTCGAGTTTGTTTTTGTTTTCAGACTAGGGGGCCCAACCCCCTCAGTGCTCAAAGAGGCGGCGGGCGGGCGCCCACTGACCGAGAGATCAAAAACGCTCGGCCCCTTGTCTCGTTAGTTCAGAGATCACACACATCAGTCATCACCCATCTTCAGCCCTCAGTGCTCAGACATTCTTACACCACGTCCCAACGGAGCCTAGAGGCGCCTACCACCTCATTGCTGTCAAAGGAGAGAAACTCGACCTGGTCGTCGTGGAAACCTCCTCGTATGCCTCGCCTTCGCAAACGGCGCTCGACTGGTTGACGCGCGCCGCCGCCTCTCTGCTCTTCCGAGTGACCCTCGGCGTGAGTGCAGGCGGTTATTGGACAGCTCTTCCGGGCCTAAGGCAGAGCGAGGTGGGCTGGGCGGGACAGGGAGGGCAAAACAGCCGTGCCGGGGGGGGGGGGGGGGAGCGATTCGGGGCACTGTGTGTTGGTGGTGCTCGGTTGCAACGCGAGTCTCGGCAGCCACGCCGCGCACGGGCAGGCGAGTGAGTACGAGATTCTAGTCTGTTTGAGGTGTTACCCTCCCTCATTGCACCATGGATGGGAGACGGCTGGCTTTGTGTGATGTGGCATGCGCACCTAGCCGCGCCGGGCGTTGGTGGGGGAGGAAGGTGGTGAACTAGTTGGCCGCACTGAGGAGGGGGGAACGAGACGCCCGGTCCGCCTGCCGATCTCTTCAGACGCCTGGGGCAGCGAGGGCAACGGCTCAGAACGACTTTGGACTAATAAGCGGTCTGCTAAGCGGTCTGCTAAGCGGTCTGCGTGTTGCACAGGGCTGATAGGGTGGGGCAAACGGCTCAGAACCACAGCCAAACAAGGTAAGAATCATCCGCAAGCGCGTCATCTGTCCCTATCTAACGAGTTGTTTTTCTTCCTCATCGCCGCGGAGGGTGCGATCGCATCTGGCAGCCTCGGGTCAATTGGAGGTTTATTCCCCACTGAGAGCGGGGCTATCGAATCGGAAAGAGAGTCAATGCTCTCGTCATTGGCGCCAGTGAGGGTGTCGGGCCGTGGATAGTGGAAGGTCAGTGGCCGAGCGGTGGTTGCCTGCCATGGGTTGCGAGGTAGGCCCAGGTTGGCCCAGGGCGTGGGCTCCACGTCGCTCTATAGCTGGGGCCGGGCCCAAAAAAAGAGCGGGGAAGGGGCTACGTCTCTCTTGGATTAAAATCCCTGTGTGGTGGCGGCGTGCCGTTCTCCCATCCCTCCCTTGGGTTGTCTGTTTTCTTTCTTTTTTTTAGCCCGCAACCCGATCCCGATCATCCGGCCCGCTGGGTGCGCTTCTTAGCTCCCCGGCCCTGGATGTGGTGAGGTTAACGACTGCACTCCAAGTGCTCCAAGATCCCATGCCAATCGTCCGGCCCGCTGGGTGCAGGGAGGGTGGGAGAGGGTGCGCTTCTTAGCTCCCTCGCCCCCCGGCCCTGGGCGTGCGGTTGATGACCGCACTCCAAGTGCTCCAAGTGGATGTGAGGTTACCGCACTCCAAGAGCTTGCCGATCATCAAACCGACATCCGGCTCGCTGGGTGGGTGCGCTTCTTTTTAGAGAAGCTCCCCGGGACCCCGCTCCCCGGCCCCCTCGTGCCTCGAGCCTGGAGCCTCGCGGTGGAGCGCGGCCGCGGGCGAGCGCCCATCCCCGTGCGCGCGTGAGGCACATGGGCCGCATGGCGTGAGGAGTTGATGACGTTCGCACTCCAAGCTCCACAAGTGCTTTGGCTAGTTCTCCATCTCACTCTGACACGCTAATCTTGAAAACGTCCAACGGAGCTCCGTGTTGCTCCCAGCGCCCTCCCCCGCGCTTCCTGCGGCCATGGCCGATGATACTAGTATGAGAGGTCATCTGGCTACCGCGAGCGCGACTCAACTCGCCGACGTCGTCCGATGATTGTGCCTCAAAGTCAGCCTCCGGAGGCTATCGTGGGGTCGAGCCGGCAGTAGCCGTGACATGTGGTTCCACCACCCCTCGTATGCTTTGCCTCTGACCGCCACCGTTCCCAGGCTGCCAAATGGGATGGAAAGGAAGGCTCGGCGAGCGTATAGAAGCGTGCTCGACCTCGTCGTGGCAACCTGCATGGCAGCGCTGGCGGGCGCGATGAGCGTCGTGCCACCTGACCCGAGACGGGTCGCAGGCGTCGTACCGAGCGCGTCGAGACCGTGTCCTGATGTGATCTGCACGGGTGAGTCACGTCGGCGTCAAAGGAGCGACGTGCGACCTGTCAGAGCTTGATCTCCGATCTCAGCGGCGTCGAGTCGTCTCCGGCGCGCGACAAAGGTACATCCCCAGGACGCGCAGAGGCAGCTGCGACCCCGCCGAGTGGACGGTTGCACACCGCGCCACCTGCTGTGTGCAACCGTCTACTCGGCGGGGGTCGCAGCTGCCTCTGGAAGGCACCGAGATGTACCTTTTTGCGCAAATGGTCAAATCAAGGTTTTGTAACGCGAGCTGTGCCACAGTGAAATGGAACTAGCCTTTGGGTTTGGCTTTGACCTTTGTTCTATGTGTCTATAACGTTATTCCTCCCCCCCCCCCCGCTTTCAGACTCCTTGTATATGGCTATTTTTCGGATTTCGCTTGTCTTGACAACCGCTCAACGGCGTTGCTGCGACTGCATGTGCATGTGGGCCATGTGCATGTGTGGAGACATGAAGAGCGCCCGCGAGACCCCCCGAGCTCGCCACGGCCCTCCGCTGCCCGCGGCTGGCCGTGGCGCCCAGAGGGCCCTCTGCTCTCCGCGCCCCCGCGCCCCCCTCCGCAGGCGTGACGCGTCGAGTGCACCTCAGTTGGCGAGGAAGGGCAGGCTCTTCTCCGAGCTGGCGGCGAGCTCGGTCGCGAGTGCGACGGCGTTCTTGCAGCCGTCATAGAAGCCGGACTTCTTGTTGGAGACGATGCACCTTGTCGCAGGGGCGCGGGGGCGCGTCGGGGACAGGGTGGCGAACGTTGTGCGCGCCGCCGAGACCGGAGATGGGGGCAGGAGGGGACGCGGGAGGCGAGGGGCAGGGAGGGAGGCTGCACTTGTTCATGGTGAGGAGCAAGTCTGGGCCGGCGTCCATCTGTGCGATGTACGCCATCGCGTCCTCCACCTCGCGCAGCTCGAGCGTTCCATCGCCTGCTCACTTCGAGAGCCGTGAACGGGCGCTGCTCTCTTCCCCGCGCGCCCCACCTCGAGTGGGCGCTCGCCGAGCTCCGACGCGCGCAGCGCCGAGTACGCCTCATGGTCCCCGACGCGCCGGATCATCAGCTTGGGCACCGGGTAGAAAGCAAGCTCGGACGGCTTGCACGCGAGCACGTCGGCGACGCGGGAGAGGACGTCGGTTGTCGCCTAGACGCACACGCAACGGCCACGCTCGCGCCACTCCCGTCGGGCCGACTGCGGGCCAGCCAGCCGGCCGTCGCCACGGCGGGGAAGTACTGCTTGAAGGCGAAGAGGGTCACCGCGTGCGTCGGCTCGACTCCCGACCGCAAGCGCTCCGCGTACTCGTGCACGCCCTCCATGCTGTCGACGACGGCGTAGTCCGAGACGCCGATGGCCGCGAGCGCCTCGGCGAAGGCGACGCGCATGTGCTCGTGGTCGCCCGCGTTCAGCATGAGCTGCACCTTGCCCTCGGCCACGTGCGAGCCGAGCGCCTGGATGAACTGGCTCACGAAAGTCTTTTGCGCGCCCGCGCCGCCGACGGGGATGAGGATGCGGCGCGGCTGGCGCGCGCGCGCGCGCTGCTTCCGAAGCCTACGGGGAGAATATGCCAACATCGGGGCGGGAATGCGGTGTTGTGCAGAGTATTCAGAGCACCGCGTGAATGCGAGGGGTGCGAACACAGTGAAGACCGCGGAATACGGTCGAATACGGCGGAATACGTGCCGAGTCCTGGCCGGAATACACAAACACGGATTCCGCTTCTAGGCGACGGAGCTCGCAGTCGAACTCGATGTT